AAAAAGAAATTAAATAAAAGAGCCAAAATCTATGATTCTTCCTAAATTTGCATGAGAGAAAAAAGGGGAAAGTACGGCATACCGGGAGATGAGGAAGGGGAAGATGAATTATCTCGATTATTGTTCTTAGTCATAGCTTTAACGGTGAAAGAACGATGGGCAGATGAAGGCAGGCATACCCTAGAAATCCTGATTTGAGAGAGTCCGAATTTCGAAATCTTGCAAGAATTGGGTCTTTCAGGAATCGAATTTCTCTTCGTCAACAGAGTAGCGGAAGAAGGATGATTCCCAGGGTTTGCGTTCTTCAAGTGAACTGCCCAAAGATCCATTTCTCTCTCTCTCGAAAATCAGCTACTTGGATCTTCTTTCTCCTGCTCAAAGGTAAAACAGTGTCGTTTGGAATAAAACAAGGAGATTACGATGATGAGAGAAAATCTGTAACAGATTATATGGATTTGATTATTAATGGAATTTTTGCGAAGAAAATAGATAGCACAATACAGCTAGGAACTGAAAATGACTCGCTTGGCTCTCGAATATGCTTTATTTTAGACTCTTTTTCCCCAGTTCTAGATGTTTGGATAACTAACACTATAAGTCATTCACCTATTTTCATGTTTCTTATTTTCTCACCTAATTATATATTCTTTTAATTTAATCACTAACTTTGTGGCAATAACCGTTTGGGTAAACTATTTAAATGTTCGCCAAACTTTTAAATCACTTTCATTTTGGTCCAAGAAAACAATAAATCAATTTAGTCATAATCATTAGTCGTCCAAACTTTAAAATCTAAAGTTGTTAATGGTAAATTATCCAGTTAATATCCTAACATTTAAGACACTATCATTTTGGTCATTAATTTTTAATTTTGATATTTTTGTATTAAATCTCAAACATATGCTACCATGGTGGCCTTTCAACCAATAGAACTCAATTTTCCAACCGTAACCTACTCTATCAACCATTAATACGACATATTTCAAATCCACACCAAGTTATATATTTTTAAATGAAAATCAAGTCTGGCTATTGGAATTTCCCAAAGTTTTAGAATCATGTTCAGTCCTTATGGCAGAGTTATGGGCTATTTGTCTGCATATCATTGCAGGAGAGGTTGCAGATAATGCTCAAAATTAGGGTTGTAAACGAGTCGAGTTCGAGTATTGTTCAGCTCGACTCGACTCAAAAACTTTGAAATGGAGCTTGATTTAATTAGAAAATTCGCGAGCCTAAAATTTTTTAGTTCGATTGGAACTCGAAATCATGAACCGAAGCTCGTAAAAGCTCGAAATGAAAAAATAAATCTTAAATTAACTCGATTGAAGTCTCAAACTCAAACTCGAACCTGAACCTTAAATACATGAAAATATGATACTGCATTTTAAAAAAAATCAACACATAAGTATTAATATTATTAATTTTTTTCAAAAAAAATAAAAAACTCAATATATTATATTTTCAAGCTGCTCACGAGCTTTTCGAGTCGAGTATCAAATAGCTCATTTCGGCTTGTTAAGAACTCGAATCGAGTCCATTGGAGTCAAGTATTTATCGAGTTTTCATCAAGTCGATCTTGAATTGTAATACCCCAAATATCGGGTCGGTGGCCATAATGAAATAATTAAAAAATTTGGGGGATTAAATAGAATAAATGGTAAAGTATAAAAAAATGATTTAGAAATTGTGTTTAAGACCAATTAGTAAGAATGGAAGAATGAAAGGGGTATTTTGGTCCTTTATAGGAAAATGGATTTCAATTTATTTTAATTAGGGTATTTAAGAAGAGGTAAAAGGGGAAGGTTGAAAACAAGCTAAGTTATCTCCTTCTTCCTAGTTGCCCATGCTCTCATCCATAGCCAAATGTAAGACTTCATCTAGCTAGTTTTTCCTTTCATTTTTGGTTTGGTTTTGAAACCTTAAGCGATGTGGAAGCTTAAGGACAGTTTAAAGAGGATTAAAACAAAGAGATGGATGATTTATTTGAGATTGAAGAAAATGAATTTTTGAATGATATGTTGAAATATGAGTTTTTATTGAGGTTTACAAGTATATTTGACTTGTCAAATAAGTAAATAAGAGATTAGAAGCATTGGATGTGATTAAAAACATGTATGAAAAAGTGGTATGATTCTTGGTTTGGGATGTCTTTTGGAGAATTTAGATGTTATAAGAAGCTAAATGTAGGAAAGTTAGTTGGGTTAAGTGATGTTAAGTTTAAGGGTATTGTTTGAGGTAAAAGTAAGAGATTTAAACGAAATTTGGGTAAAAATCGAGCTGAAAAATGGAAAATATGGGTAAGGGTATCGGTACTGGAAGAACAGTACATATACTATAGGTTTAAAATTAGGGAAATAGGATGAACAATATTGATACTGATGCAATTAGTATCGATACTAATTGGGTATCGATACTAAGAAGAAGATATCGATACCATGGATTCCAGAATGCATAAATAGTATCGATATTGAAAGGGAGTATCGGTACCATAGTAGAGAAGTATCGATACCATGGTAGGGGTACCGATACTATTGAGTCTGGAAAACTTAAGATAAGATGAATTTTGATTGAAATTGAATAAAATAGTACTTTTGAGTATTTTTTAAAGTATAAATGTTAGAGTATACTAACATTGGTATGGTATGTGTACTTAATGGATGTTTGTATAGATCATAACCAAGCTCTTGAGTCAAGCAAGAAAAAGGGAAAAGATAAAGTTGTTGAATAGTCGAACATCATTACAACATACTAGCGAGACATATCAGGTGAGTGCATTTATTGTACTTGTATAAAAGGAGGAAGACTCACAATGAGTCAACCTCGAATGTTTTGTTAAATGTGTATTTTACAACATTTTGGTATATTTTCATTTCGTATATAGAAATTATATTATGAATAAGTTTTAGAGTATGAACTGCTCTAAAATGAATGGATGAATGATGATATTGTGCAATGGTTATCGATGTTGCCAAAATAAATGTTTAAATCGGTAAATTTTACTTAAAAGCCCATTATATGTGCATTGAGAGTCATAGGTACATTTCGGCATAAAAGATGTCACTAATGAAAGTTAAATGTATAACGGTGCATTTTGGCATAAAAGATTACACTAATAAAAATTAAATGCATAACGGTGCATTTTGGCATAAAAGGTGTTGCTAATGAAAGTAAAATGTATAACAGTGCATTTTGGCATAAAAGGTGTCATTAATGAAAGTTAAATGCATAACGGTGCATTTTCGGCATAAAATGTGCCACTCATGGTATTAATAAAAGGTGAATGACCATTTCGACACTTCGGTACAATGCATGTACCTTACATTCTCATTTGATATACATTGAGCAAAATAAAGAATAATTGGGAAAAATATACAAAAAAATGGGTATGTTGGGCATAATAAGAATATTTTCGATGATTATATGAAAAAAAACTTGGTTTAACTAAGATGGTTAACTGATTCTTATGAAGTAAACGATTTAGTTCGTATTTCAATAACCATGATATGCTTATATATGAATTGCAGTTCATTTACATTATATTGTCTCACTAAGTAAATACTTAGAGTGTGTTAATTTCACGCGTAGGTAAGAGCAAAGACTAGCCGAGTAAGGAGTGCAACAGCAGCTATCATCAATCCAAGGTTGACTCATCAGTAACAGTAGGATAATCATATGTATTTTAAAAATTAGTTGGCATGAATTTGAATTTAAGAAAAAATGCTCTGGAATGTATTAAACTGATAATTTTTTGTAATATGTTACAAAGAATGCTTTATTATTATTTCAAAAATGTTTTGTTTTATTTTCGAAACAAAATTTTATGAGTTTTACAAATAAAGAAATGTTCTAAAAGTCATGTAACATCTGTGAATTGTGTACGGAAACATATACAGGAAATGAGCGTTACATGAATAGCTTACGATCTGTCTCGTCTCATTTACAGTCCTACTCAAAATAAAGCCACGAATGAATTTTTTCTATACATGTGTTAGAAAGAAAAATACCTAAGAAGATGACCCCCATTATGCATTATTGGAAAACAGGAGACGCAAAAATGTTTCTGAAATTGAGTTCATTATTGTATCCAGTAGCATAAATGATGATATCTGCTGCAAATAGCATAGTTTCTTCATCAAGAACCAAATCTTGTGTGCAAAAGCCAAAGCTTTGTGGATTTCTAATAACAATGCAATAATTAAGACAACTTGTTAAACAGAATATGCCAACTAAAACCATCAACTTCATAACCATAATCACATAAAATATGGTCGATAACCTAATCAAAAAGGAAACAGAACCCTAACCTGTTAAACGTATAAAAGAAATTCTTATATAAATCCTAATGACAGATGGGGAAAGAGGTTCAACTTTTAGCTCTTCCATTTTGTATACTCTTTCTGCAACCTTATCTTTGTATATGTATCATTATTCTATTAGTTGATCATTGTCCAAAAATTAATTACAACTCTCTGTTTAGATTTCAAGGAATAAAGTGTCAACTGTTGATTTAATCTATCTATTTTATTAATTTTAAATATATATTTCAATAATTAATATGGAGTTATTTTTATTAGAGGCCATAAATTAAAAATAATAATAAATTAATTTTTTAATTAAATATTGCTTTATAATTGTTACGATATTCGTAGATCTATTTATCAATAAAAAATATGTCAAGGTGAAATGACTTTTTGAAAGTTTGGGAAACAAAGGAATGGTAGGATTCGAAGTCAAGACCCCTTAGGTGTAATGAAAAACTCCAAACAATTATAGCCGTTAAACTCTCAGTATTGACATTGGAAAGTTGATATCAAGACCGACCATCCTAATGGTTAAAATTATAGCAGTTAAATCCTTAATATCAATTATGTTTATACGAGTATCAACTATGCATTGGAGTGCGTGACGTTTGCCTCGTGATTGGTTAATAATGGTTATTAGTTAGTGGCATCATCCCATCCCGTGTTATCCTATGTGACTCAGCAAATCACCAACGCTAATCCTTGCCTTTATTTCCGTATCCCCAATCACTTCCGGTAATCCAATGTACCGTCTTCGCAATTTTCACACTGTTCGTACAAAGCAACCCACCCCCACTGCCTCCTTCCATGTCCGATTCCCCTGTTTTTTACTCACTCACTTGAAGCTTTCCAGTTCCTTCTTCTACTTCATCTTCAAGCTCAAAGGTACACAACAAATATACGTCTGCTTTCATTTTTCTAAGCCGACCCATCATCATTAATTTATGAATCAATGTTTTTTTTCCCGCAGATATGTCAGGCCCAGGGATAGTGCGAAGAGGGGTTCATTATTTGCAAAAGCTAAAAGCTGCGAATATACCTTCTGATTTGATAGAATCAGGGCCAAAATCGTGTTGTTGATGCTTCTCTTACCCTTATGGGCGAGAGGGCAAAGCACAAGGTTGATTATATATATATATAACTTAAACTGGTTGCTTCTCTTGATTACCCCTTTTAAGGCTTTTGAACTTCATAATTAAAATTATTTCTTGGGACAACTTGTGCATGCTAGCATCAACAACGCTGCTTGGAGTTCCGCTAGGACATAATGCATCCTTTCTTCAAGGACCCGCTTTTGCTCCTCCTCGTATTCGGGAGGCTATCTGGTGTGGCAGCACTAATTCTACCACTGAAGAAGGTGGTCTCTTCGTTTCCTTTCAGTAATGGATGTTATCATGTTGTTATATCCCTCCTATGAGAATTATATATATAATTATTGTTGGTACTGGACTACTGGTCTATATTACTCAGATTTAGATGTTAGTAACGGATATGTAGTGTTTGATACCTGTATGTTCAAAATTTTCCAATTGTTTTTTAATGTATTTGGAGTACCATATCCCTATACTCGTGCTTGAATAGGGGTCAAAAACTAATGTTGGCACTTGGCAGTCACTTTTAAATTTCAAATTATCATGTATTTTAGACATTTTCTTTGTATTTTGGACAATATGACGATATGAATTTTGGACACATTGTGATGGAAGTGGTTGACATTTGGAATCTAAATTATAAACAGTTAACCTGTTAATAATATTCTCACTGTGTTCCTTGGTCCTACAGGGAAGGAACTAAATGATCCACGGGTGCTAACCGATGTCGGTGATGTCCCTGTTCAAGAAATCCGTGATTGTGGAGTAGATGATGATAGATTGATGAAGGTCATAAGTGATTCTGTCAAGCTAGTAATGGAAGAAGTGAGTTGTTGTTTAGCTTCTTTCTTCTGAATTACTTTGATTGATTATGATGAGTCTTGTTGTGTTGGACCGTTTACGTATATAGATCTTAATTTATAGATTGTTCAAACTCCGAAACTTTGTCCCGGAAACAATCTTGTGATCATCTTTGTGTTGAAATAAGTTGAATCTTGCTGTTCACTAGTTTTTAAGTTTATCTTCTTTCTTCTGAGTTATTTTAACCGATTATGACGAATGTTATTGTGTTTAACTGCTTACATATTCTGCATATTTCTAACTCCAGAACTTTGTCTCAGAAACAATCTTGTGATCATCTATGTGTTGAAATAGGTTGAATCTTGCTTTCCACTGTTTTTTCGGTTTAGCTTCTTTCTTAAGGGTTGCTATGACTGATTATGATGATTGTTGTGTTGAACTGCTTTCATTTAGATCTTTGATACACCCAATTTGAGCTTTTGAACTTTGTTCTGCAAACAATCCTGTGATCACCAATGTGTTGAAATAAGTTGAATTGATCCTGCTTGCTCTAGTTTTCAGGTCGTTCATTTTAGAAATCTTTGATCTGTTAAATATTTCTGTTATGACCCTGTGAAAGAAGAAGAAGAATCGAAGGAAATAGAGGAATGGAGATTAAAGAAGAGAAGAAAAGGAATTCAAGAAAACTGAGATTTCATTCATTTCAATCATAAAACTTCCCTTTTCCAGTACATGGTTTTATTTGTTCACAGATACTGAAAATAACAGCTGTCCATTGATGCAACAAACTATGAACCTTCTAATCGGCTGGGCTTATAATTCTTCAAGTCTGTTTTCATTTTCCTCTTCAGCGTTGGTTTTAATGAATCCATGCCCTTCACGTGTTCCCAACTCCTTCAAATCCTCATTTGAAATCCCTAATTCATTTTTTGATCCCCAATGTCCTTCTCTTCGTGCTTTTCCTCCTCCCTCAACCGTGACAATTCCTCCCCTTTAGACGATCCTTGTCCTCAAGGATCAAAATATTGAATTTGTGATAGCAACACCACATTAGCGAAGCAACTATATCCAAGATTATGATGGCATTGTGGGTGAAGAGAATAATGTTGATAAGGCTGCCAGCTAACATTTTCCCAATCTCCTTCCTCGGAAGTAATTCTACGCCTATATTGAGCATGTAAGTTTTGCATGTAATTTCCAATGGAATCAGGAATGTAGCGCAGGAGAGTTGGATGAGGATGCTCATAACGATCTTCAAAAAGAGTATTTCGAGCCGAAGGTTGGTAAGAATTATTGAATCCATGCTCCATTCGTGATGGCAATTGCATCAAAGCCTTCAGATAATCCCTAAAATAACGCCATAAATTCATAAAATAGTCTTCTTTCCCCTCACCTGAATGGTATGAATAAAGCACGACATAGCAGTCTCCACTATAGAATTTATCAGTATACTTTGTTTTCCACAACGTCTTGGCACCATCATTGATGCAACATACCTCGATCTTTATTCCGCTTCCAAGCAAAGGAACTTCTTGTATAGGAGCAGTTTTAGCCACCCCCTTGACAATGGCTTCGTGTTGCTTTAGCAAAGCAGCTATTTTTCCTTTTCTATCCTCCACTTCTATGGGTGTCACCTTGCCATCATTTATGCTATAAGGTTTAATCGGAGTAGTCTCTGGACTAATATCATCTTCATTTGTTTCAAATATGTCAACATCCACCTCAATATCAGCGTCTACCTCCTTTCCATGAATGATTTTAGTTGGGCGAAAATATGCTTTTACGACTGTGGGAGAAAGATTTCATTTCGACAGGGCTTCCAATTTATGTGTTGTTTTAGCAGCCTAACAAGGCAAGTTTGCACGCTCTGCAAGGGTAGAACGAACCACATCTGGACTTATTCCCTTATCAACCAGGTAATCTTCGAGTAACAAATTGATATGCATTCTCTATTGTGGTTGCATCCACTTTAATGGGCTGAACATCAGCAGTAAGATCCAAAGCATGTTTTAAATCCATATTTTTATCCTTTTCCCCCAATATCTGGACTAGGCTACAAGATATTCTTCTTAGGCCAAATAGACCACTTGTAGAGCTAGGCTGACAGTCATCAGCAAATAAGCCAACAAGGCTATCTAATCGGTCAGCTATTGCAATAATTATTCCCACATCACCATTTGGAAGCACATCTCCAGAAAACTCAGGAAGTGTGATCGCTAACAAGGCCTCAATAATCTGATCTGAATAGCCATCTCTAAATGCATAATGACGGGTCATTATGCCAGAGAGTAAAGTAAATTCGGTGACAACAGCAGTAGCAAGATCTGACATGGCAAGAGATGCAGCCTCCTTAACAATCAGAAGCATATCTTCTTCAACTCCAAAGTCCACGCTTAGTTTGCAAACCATTTTTTCAACTCGCATCATCTTGTCCAGCATTGTTCCCAACTTTTCATGGAAAAGATTCCCCTTCAGTTGACTACAGAAATCCTTAAATTTTTTATTTGTATCTAGCTCAGAGAAAAATTTGGCATCTTCATATCGAGCTCTAAGAACAGCTTCATTTCCTTTTATCACCACCATCTCGTTGATTGCTCCATTTTCCACTGCAATGAAATAGGGCAACAGCTTTCCATTAACATCAGTAATAGGAAAATACTTTTGGTGTTTCTGCATAACCATAGTCAAGTGATCGCCCGGAAGCTCTAAGAAAGGCTCTTTAAACTTCCCAAGCGGTGGAACAGGTGCTTCAACAAGATTTACAACCTCATTGAACAAGCTTTCCTGAAAGACAATGTTCCCTTTGACACTGTTTGTTAAAAATGTAGGCTCTCCAAAATTGTTTTCTTTCCATCCTTAATATCAATATCAATTCCAGCACTCTTTATTATACTAGGATAAGATTCTGCACTTTCTACTATGATAGCAGCTTTTGGAGTATTACGAAGACTATAAGATAAGTTTTCACTCAAAATCCTAGCAAATCCAAATGGAACCACTGCATCTCCGTGGAGGGACATGATCCAACAAATAGGTCTGCTGAAAAAGACCTGTGAGTTCCAGCGCATGGACTTCAGGAAAGATATTTTAGCAAGCATTCCAGGTAACTCGTCAGATAAAACCTCCAAAGTAATTCGGGAAAATTCTTTTACACAAATAAACATACTCTGTTTTACCATCTACCTTTCTGAACATAGAGTCCAGTGGAACAACATAACTGCGACAAAAACCTTCAGCAGCCTTTGTAGGATTTCCCTGTAGGTCAAAGGCTTTCGAAACCGGAGGTCCCCGAACCTCAAGTTCATTCTCGGTAAGGCAAGGAAAGATGCTATGGGATAAGGCAAGGAGAGACCCAACACCAATAAAGCTCGAACTTCTCTCGTATGAGAATGATCCGGTAAGATATATATTCTTGATACTCTCTGCATTGTGGTGGTTCTTTTGCTTAGTTTTAAGTTACGCCTTGCAAACTGTTACTTGGATTCGGAAGTGTCAGATAATTGTCTTGCATAGGTATTTTTATATATTTTTAATGTTTCTTATATATTTCAAGGATTTTTGAGGGCCATATCCCGTTAGGGGTCCATATCCATGTCAGACACGAGTATTAGACACGTATGGTTCAAGAAAGATGTAGAGTCATCTGTTGATTCTTGTATTGGAATAAAGCGTTATTAGCCTTTGGATACTCGAAAGTTCTCATTCTTTTGCTATTTGACAGTATTAACGAATTGTACGAGAGGCACTTTGTGAGCTTGAACTTCCTAACATCCTTCAAAACGTGGGAGAAGGGTCTCAACGGAAGAAATTACTTCGCGAGGCATCTGGATCTAAACAGGTTAGGTCCTTTATAAATTCATATTATCTTTCAATTAAAAAAAATTCCTCCTTCAAAGTAGTGATATTTAGATATAGCATTTGCTCGCATATGCAAAAAGCATTTGGTCCTATGCAGTAATAACGGTGAGCCACTTGAACCTTGGCTTTATGTTGCTGGATCCGGCACTTATGTCTGATTAGGGACGGAGCCAGAACCTGACAGTGGGGGAACGGGTTAAATTGATTAATATTTAAACTTACAAGGGCCTACAGAGCAATTAAACCTTAAAAAGATGGGGGTGCATAGCCCCGCCCACTTCCCACATAACTCCGTCACTGTGTCCGATGCGTATCTAGATATGGATACGAGATTTTGATCCTTCAAGGACCTCCAAATTGAACATATATATTCATGTCGGACATACACTTAAAATCGAGTTTGAGTTATATGCCCTACTACCCTAGTCCGTAGACTAGACCTTTGTTGCCCTATCCCCCGAATTTGAGCAGAAACTCTGCTATATTAAGGAATATAAGACCATTGGAGCGCTTGAATCATATGTTACTCGGATTTGGGTGTAAGTCTAGGACATTTTAGAACTTCTTCCATGTTTTTGAAGGATCTATGGAGATCATATGGGCTGAACATGAGTGACGGTTACAGGTACTTAAACAAAAATAAAGAGTTAAAGCAATGCAACGAGGTTTGGGTTACTAACAACAGGTTTTGATCGTGCTTTGCAGGTTCCGTATATAATCGATCCGAATACGAATACTAACTAGGAGATTACAAGAAAATACTGTCATATTTGTTCAATACATATTCTTCAGCAGCCCTTGTATAGTTTTTTGACATTAAAGTTCTAATCTACTTTCATCTCTGTCATGTTAAAAAAAGCCCCAAACACAGTATTAGCAATTGGAACTGTTGTTTTCTGGGAACTTAGTAAACATCTACTCATTTGTATGTGATTTCATGACATGACAACTATCCGATATGGTACGGAATATAATCCGTCTAGATTTCTTTAAATATATGTAAAAGAAGTAATAACGTGAAGAAAACTTTAAAATTTATAATAAGTAATAGTCTAGTAATTGTAGACATAATTTACCCTTCAATTTATTTAATTTTATTCTACACTATTTTACAACAAATGATAATTATTTTAATATTTTTGGTGTTCGAACTTGAGATCTTAAGGAATTACAACAATTCTTTTATCACGAGGTTATTCGATTTAAGCAATTAAAATTTATGCATTGTATTATTATTTAGA